ATTGAGACAAACGTCGGTCACTCCGTGTCACCTCTCAGCAACCTTGCTATATAGCTCTAGTTAGTTTACGTCGTACGGTCCTTGGCGAACACGCCCCCGGGGGCAGATAAGTCACTTGATTTAAATCCTCGCCAATCTGCACTCCACCACGACTCCACCGTAAAGCCCCTAAGCTTTACTTTATTGACCGAAAGTGCACTATAACCGTCGCTGATCGGAAAAATCTCGACGCTGTTTCTCGGGGCGGTAGATCAACGCGGCAGGCGACGTGCGTCTGGCATGTTAACGTCGCGCGCTAATCGCTCCGATTGGATCTGTAAATGGAACTAGGAGGACAGGAGGAGTCGTTTGTAAGTACGCCGAATTAAGCAGCGACGAACGAGTCGCGGCGACTCGAATCGCGCTGTGACACAGGCGCTTGCTGCGCGAGCGCACCACACACACACACACACACACACACACACACACACACACACACACACGACATACAACGACACACACACGCGACACACACACACACTCACACACACACACACACACACACACACACACACAACACACCACACACACACACACACGACACACACACACGCTACGCACGCCACGCACGCACGCCACGCACTCACGCACACACAGGCATGCATTCACACAAGTCCAACGCGCACACACAAACACACGCACGCTACGCACGCACGCACACACACACACACACCGCACCACACCGGCGCGCACCGAGAGACAAAGAGGCAGAGAGTAGCAGAGAGAGAGAGGGTGCTTGTTCGAACGACGCATCATGGCTCTGATTTCCGAGTAGAGAGAGGAGCGCTTCGCAGGAGCCGAAAAAACGCAGAGAGAGAGAGCGAGAGCGAGAAAGAGAGACCGATGAGAGAGACAAATGCGTTGTCCCGGCCTAGCGAGGCGGTCCCAGACTTGTAGGTCTCGCCTCAGCGTGTGGCCGCGACGGCCCCTCTCCCCACCACACGCTGGAATGTTAATCGCCCGTCAGGTGGCTGTCCGTAGGCATGGCGCTCGTGATACGGCGGCCGTCTGCTATGTCATCCACACCGCCACCCCTCTCTCTCTCATCTCTCTCTCTCTCGCTCGTGCGTTCTTCACCGCCTCACGTGCTCTCTCTTGTCTGCGTGCTGCTCCTCCCTACATCTCTTGCTCTCTCTCGGCAGTCTCGTGTGTCGCACGCTGTTTCCTCTCTCGTTACATCGTGTCTCTCTGTTGTCCCTACATATCCACCTCCCACTTCTTTCTCTCTCTCTTCTTCTGCCTTCGACTGTCTCCACTCTCTCGCACTCGACGGTTTTACTTATTTACTTTTCCACAGGTCAACGTTCCTAAACTTAGGTCTAGCCACAATGAGTCCCATAAGTTCCACGCCCTTCTTTAGGGCATGTCGCGGATGCGTCTACTCACCAGACACGCGCTTCTCTCTCCTCTCTTTCTCCTCCTCTCACGTTCCCTGCTCCTCTCTCTCTCTCTCTTCTCTCTCGGCGCCGACGTGCTCGCCCTGTCCCTGCTCTGATACGAAGCGCTCTTGATCGCAAGCGCTTCTCTCTCTCTCTCTCTCTTTCTCGCTCGCTTTTCGCTCTCTCTTCTCTCTTCTCTCGCGCTCTTCGCGTCTCTCACTCTCTCCGCTTCTTTCTATCGCACTCGCTCTCTCTTCTCTCTTCGCTCTCTTTCTCTCTAACCCGTACCTCTTCGTTCTTTTTTGACTTAGCTTTTTACAACTATCTCCTTTTATTGATTGTGTATGACTTCTAGCTCCTTCGTGTCCCGCATGTGCTCTCTCTATTCAATACGTATCTTTACCACTACTAGTCTACTCCTATCTCTAGTTCCTCCGTGACTGCTCTAGTCGTATCTATCTCTAGTTCTATGCTTCACGCTAGCCATCCCGCTACAGCATCTCAACTCTCATCTATCGATTATCTATGGTATATGACACGTCCCTATCTATCGACAACGGTTTGATCTCCTCATAGCTCTCATTCTTTCCCTCGATCCGGGTTTTATCTCACAGTGCAAATCTCATCACAGGGGTGCGGTAGTCTATCTTATTTTACTCTATCTATCTATCTATCTATCTATACTATCTATCTATTTATCTAACCATCTTCTATTTATTTATCTATCTATCTATCCATCCATCCATCTATAAATAATATAATAATATATCTATATATATATATATATATATATATATATATATATACCCGTTTTTTTAATCGTTTTATCATCCTTTTAACCCCTCTTCTTCTTCTTCTTCTTCTTTCTCTTCCTTTATATATTATTGCTCATCGTGGAATTCATTTACCACAAGCATAGCACCATATATCCTCTACAGGGCAACCGGAGGGCAAGAACACAATGGATTTTAAAGACATTTGGCATATACACATATCATAGGGGGTATAATAACTTCTTAAAATATTTTGGGAAAATTTGACCTTGTTTGACCTTTACAAATTGTACAGTATTCTGCACATCAGGTATCCATGAATTGAAAAACCAAAACATACATTAAATGTGAGCAATTTAATGCACTTTAAATGCTTCACAAATGAACATTAAATGCTTAACAGCCATACAGAGAGACAGTACAGCTACTGTATTTCTCTGCAGCAGCAACAAGAATCTCCGGATACTTTTTCCCCGCGCGAAACACCTTGGTGCAAATCTAGAGATATCCCTATATATAGATTCGCGGCGGTGACAGCGGCATCGCATTTAATGACAGTAAAATGGCAGCATCGTAATCGCAGGAAGACGACGCAAACACTCCGGACCGGCGCGGCGCCATTAAACGCGACGGAAAGTCCCGGTGAACTTGTTTGTTGTTCCTAACCTATATGTCTCATTTTGCTTTGCGCAGTTAAGAAAAACTCGTTCGAATAAAAGTCGTTCGTAAGCAAGCATGCAGTCAGTTCGCACGTGCATGCTTGCTCGGCCGAATTTGCTCGCCAATGGCGTAATTCCACCCCTCCCTCCCTCTCCTCGTTTCTCTCTTTCTCTCTCTCTCTCTCTCTCTCTCTCTCTCTCTCTCTCTCTCTCTCTCTCTCTCTCTCTCTCTCTCTCTCTCTCTCTCTCTCTCTCTCTCTCTCTCTCTCTCTCTCTCTCT